ATTCTTCAACTCCATATCAGATGCCTCATCAAACTCCGGCTTTTGTGAAAGCGTTGTCCAGAACGTTACCATGAATACACATAATATTGATAATGTTGGTAAATTTTAAGAATTAATTGCTAAACTAACAAATTTTTTTTTTTAATAATCACTTTTATAAAATTATTTTTTTCATTTCAGTTTGAATGTGACGATTTTATGTCGTCCAATACAATTTACTCTGGCATCATACTTGGACTTATAATATCTTCTTTGAATCTGTCTGTCTCTACCCTGGCGTCGTGGAGACGTTTGGTATTGATCGGTAGTTATATAGTATCAGGGGTCAGTTGTGTGTTAGTTGGTCTCCTATCACATCCTATAGCTAACATAACTTTCTTTATCTTAATACAAACGTCTGCTATTGGAGTGGGAAGTGTTGCGTCATACTTCGTGGATCTTTACCCGACGACGTACAGGTTTGTTAATCATTTTGATTTCTATTTAAACATGTCCTATCTTTTCTTCTATTGACAAACTGTCGCCTGCGATTCCGTCCGTGCGGAATAAAAAACAAAAACAGCATATGCGTTCTTTAAGACTATGTTTTACAACTATGCCAAATTTAAGCGAGTTCTGGAGGGACTTTCTAACAGTCATTATCCATAAATCTAAAAATTCGCATTTATAATATTAGTAAGGACCAGCTATCAACCGTAAATCTGTCGGCGCGGAATTAAAAAAAATACTTAATAAGTATCCTATGTGTTCTTCCATACTATTTTCTACATCTGTCAAATTTCTGCGAGATCCATTAATCCGTTCCGGAGATAACTTAAAATAGACATCCATCTAAGAATTCGCATTTATAATCTATCTATCTATCTTCTCAGCCATGAGACGCCCACGGCTAGGCCTCCCCCAAAGATCGCCATTTATAATATAAGTAAGATATACGCGATATTATTAGTTGTTCTTCACAAAGAAAGATGTTCAAGTTTTACAGCTTTTATATGGTGTATAATGTTCCAGGGGTCTGGTGACGAGTCTGGGCATGATGATGACCCGCCTGACCTCCTTCGCGGGAGTCAACGTCCTCGGGGCTGTCTTTGTCGACCACTGTAACTTGATCTTCTACTCTTGGGCAATTTTAGTTCTAAGTATGTTATTGGTTTGTTAGAATTATTTGCTGGTTATTTTGATTTAATAATTTTTATTGAATAATGAGTTTTTTTTGTTGATCAGGTGGTGTTGCGGTAGCTCTGTTCCTGCCCTCGGACAAAAAGAAATGATCATATAAAATAAAGTTTCTAGAAAAGAAAATACTATATTTTATTTCTTTATTATTCGTTTTATGGAATATTCTAAAATAACTCGCAGTCTGACAAAATTGATTAAAATCTGGTTAAGATATAAGAAGTCCAAATGGACAAGGATGACAGACAGACATATTTATTGGCTATTCATAGAGAGGGCAGCAGTGCGCGATTATTTTTGCGCGAATGGGATAGATATGGGATAGGTTCTTAGTATTTTATGAATATATTAGGTATATCTCGGCAATAACTTCAACACACGCTGATTCGTATTCATATCGTCATTATGATAAGTGTATAATTGTTACTTGTTTTAAAAAAATAGTAGTTTATATTTTTATGTCATTTTTTATTCATTGATAAAAATTGCATATAGTTATATAGTTTTTACATATCGAATACTTATGAATAACTTAATATAATAGGTACTAAGACTGTCTTATTTCAAATTAGTTTTAATTTATACACTGACCTTTTTATATTATAAATATTCCATGTTATTTTGTTTTTATTAAAATTAATTGTTAGCGCTTGGAAAGTTCCATTCCGTTTTACGTTTTTGAGGTTATATTATCATGCACATAATACGCTTGTTGCGGCAACGAATTGGATAAGTTTAAAGGTGTATTTTAACGCCATCTAGCGTTAAGTAGACAATTTAAAATTTAAACGGTTCACGTTGTCAAAAAACACTCGGCGTAACAATGAGAATAGTCACTACTTTTTAAAGGCACATTGTCGGTCGCAGAATAGAAGACCATTGATGAAGTTAGGTGGGGTTATAGCTGTAATCTTTATTTGTTAATAGTACTTAACTAGGAAATTTTTATTTCTACAAGAATACCACCCATATAAAAAAGAACTCCGCTAATTTGTTTTGCGAGTAGGGTGGCCAAGTCGCTAAAACTAGTAGCCGGACAGACCAGCTAGCTTGTCCGGACATTTGCGTAGAATGCCCAGACACCCTATTTTTGTCTGCGCACGGCCACTCTTGTTTGCGAAATGTAAAAAGCATATCTAAACCCGGACACTCAATCGAAAAGCCTATCTGTGTCCGGCTTTATCGGGACGCCTGACACTGCTAGATGTCCTGAAAGTTGCCAATTGTTTATAGTAGGTTCTTAAATAGTATATTTAAGTTTCTATAAGGAGATTAATACTATAATTTAATATGCGAGAAGATATTAAAATCAAGATATTATGTAATTTAAATTATATAAAGAAACAATATTTGTAGATCTTATGCGTGTTACAAAGATAAATACAGGTTTTATGTAAGGTACTGGTTAAGATAACTCTTGTTATCTCTTTGATGTTTATAATTTATGATACAACTAGCGAACGACTACTATAAGATTCTCTATACAAAGTAAAAATAACCGTTGGTTTCTGAGATGAAAATCTTATATGTAAAATTCTCGTGTCACAATTTTCGTTCCCATACTCCTTCGAAACGGCTTGACCGATTCTCATGAAATTTTGTGAGCATATTCAGTAGGTCTGAGAATCGGCCAACATGTATTTTAAATTACGCGCGGACGGAGTCGCGGGCGACAGTTAGTATCTGTATAAAAATATCGACATAAATCTTTGACAAAACAGAAACAACAATGTGTTTAAACGAGCATTTTATTCTCAGAAACCCACTATAATATAAATTTATAGCGTTTATAAGTACAGTATTATCTGAACTTCATTTTGTTTCAGACGACAATTTTAGGTTATAAGTGTAGTCGCGTACGAAAGCGTGCCCGTGGCCTCGATATGATGCATAGGAGGAACAGAGGGGTTTAGTGGGTATGCTTCCCATCCGGAAGCGAATCCCACATAACTACCGCGTCCCCCCCGGAGCGCGAAGTACACATAAAGCATTCCCCTCTAAAAAAATGTTATAAGTATAGGGAGGACGTAAAGACCTGCTCAGAAATGGACTCAATGCGTCCACAAGCCATAAAATAACAAGAAGCTTTTGATTATAAACGTAAAACTCCTGGCTTTTCGGAGATTTAATTACGAGCAGTTTGTTCTCGTATGACGCTATTGCTTTTGTCAGCATGACGCGGCATTTTCATGATTCAGAATAACAAAAGTCGTGATGGAATATACCACTGATATTGTTGTAAAGCAAGTGCTAACACAGTGGAAACTGGTTTGAAACATAAACAATCTTGACACACAAGTCGTAGTAATGGAATTCGAAAATGATTTCTTAGTTGCGATTTATTACTAGAGGAACTTCCGTCTTCGATATTTGCTTACAAAAGGATCGCGTGAAACAATGAGATGTAACCTTTTTATACAGAAACAATGATTTCTTTCTAATCGAAAATAGGAAGTCCTTTTAAAAATACTTTAATAACGAATATTTATCATGTCAAATTGAAATACTATGATCCAAACAATATATCTGGCCCGGTGAGAGTTGTTAGCGATGTTTTTTTCGGTCAGTAAACATGCCACACTTAAGCTTTAGATATTTATCGTACTAAACCAATTTAATAAATATGTAATTTCTGTCGCATAACTAGAATAGAATTAAAATTTCATTAATAAAGGAATTTAGAAACTGATTATTGGAATACCTAAAGCTCTTTTTCTTCCAGTGCCTCTTCAGTCTTAAAGGTTGGTGCATACTTGGACCAAAAGTTAGGAAAATTTAATTTTTATCACTTTTCGAGTCACTTATGAGGTAAAAATCCGTTATTGCACTATTTTCGTTTGTTTGATAAATAAACGTGTTTCACGAATTAGCGAAAAGCTACAAAACTAGAATTAAGACAACATGTTACTTTTAAATTTACTTCCGTTAAAATAATGTGTTGATTTTTGAACAATTTTAGAACACGAAAACCGTCAAAACGCATGTTCAAAACACATTGATGTCCCTCTTATTATTTTTTAAAATTACTAGTTTTTCTTGTACTTTCTACTTACATTTAAATTTAATTATTATGCCAATCTTAACGTAGTTCTAACTCCAATATGTAACCAAATAATAACTGACTAATTTTTAATTAATACATGATAATGATCGATAATCTGTGCACATCCCTAGTTTTCTAATCGATAAATGAGATGCACTAAAATTGCCAGCACTAATAGATGTACGTATAAATATCGTAAGGGAATTGGCGCGGCCCAGTGACATTGTGCGTGCTCTAGTTTGTAAGTGACATTGAATTAAAATAATATTAAATTCTATCAAAATAAAGTGATAAAGGGTTAAAAAATGGGTGCTACAAAGTTAGAAAAAATTACATTCGAAGAAGCTTTAACTATGACGGGTGAGTGCTGTGACGAAGAGTTGGTGGACATGTCACACAAAATAGTAAAAACTGAAACAGAACGCATATTGTTACAACGACGAGATGCGTCGCTTATTCTTTAAAAAGCGTTTAAATGTTAAAATAAATGCTTTTTGCTTAGTTCAAAATATTTAATAGCTTTAAATACGCACTTTCTTTTTATAAATTAACTATGAATAAACAAATCAAGTTGTTTAAGGTACACTATACTACTAAAGTACTACAACTTCATTCATAGTTAGTGACGTTCATGTTTCGTTATCGATGTCGTAAGTGCCGTACTTTTTATCTTATATATTCTTATCGATATTTTAAATATTCTTAAATTAACATCTCTATATGATTAATTGTGTATATAAAAAGCGTGACAATCTTTACTCGACTCAGTAAGATGATTCGAGTGATAGAGTGTTGGTGATTTTTTTAAAGTTAATTTCTTAATTAAAGTATTACAAAATGGTGGTTAAGAAATTAGAAAAGGTGTCATATGAAGATGCTCTTGAGATGACGGGTAAGGTTTAGTAAATTGTTTTTACTAAATAATTTACGTTTCCTATCAAATGCCTAAAAAAAAAAGTTATTAATCAATATGGAATTTTAGAAAAATGATCGTGTTTTAAATACAACCTTAACGGAAGTACAAGATTTGCTAAGATACTTTTTAGGACCTATAATATGGTTAAATAACCGAGCTTATAACAACACACAACTGAAGAAATTGCATTTAACAAGAAAAAAAAGAAGTTAATTAAATTTAGAACTCTGACATGTGACGCCGGGAACGTAGATTTTTAGTGGCTGTCGAAGTGTTAAGAACGGTTAAAAGTTGAAAGTTTATACATGGATTGTTTTTTCCCAGGCTTTGGCAAGTTCAACTATCTAATGCTCGCACTTGTGGGCAGCATGATCATGGGCATGGCCTCCGAGATCTTCTCCGTATCGTTCCTTGTGACAGCGAGCGCCTGTGAACTGGCCACTGTCAGCTCCCAGCAGGCGCTCATAGCAGGCACTCCTTTAGTCGGTAAGTAATACTATAATCAACATATCAAAGTTTTATCTGTATGTTAACGGGTCAAAAGAGCAGCGAACTTCCTAATATTAAGTGACGTGACGATGATATAGTCAAATAATTAAATTTACTTACCATTGAGGCTCGTATATCGTACAGAGAACGTATGTATGACAAACTCTTGACCTGATTACAAGTCATAGTGGTCTCACCTGGTAGGAAATAAATGTACTTGACTACAATCAATGTATCAGCAACGTCAGAGGAATGCAAATGCGTTATCGTCTTTTTAGGGTCATTTACGTTTTTTGTCCTAACTGCCCAAATAGGGTGATTTCAGAAGATTCTTCGACAACATTTCGTTTAGATCGTCTTGTACTTTCAATGACATAAAGTACGTTTGCAGCATTTTGATATTTGCTTGATTGTACTATTACATCATAGGATAGCACATTATAAAATTAGAGAATGATACAAAAGAAAAATAATTATAAAACTAGATAAGACATAAAAATAACATTAATAAAATTTAAGTATTTATAAGTACTCAGTAAATTATTAAAATTTACTGAGTACTTATAAAGATATAGAGCAGTAGTATAACCTAGTAGTTCAATGTAAATGTGAGTTTTCTACTGATGAAACACTTGAACAAATATAAGTTCTACCATCCCTGCTATTTTAGGAGAATAACAATGTGTTTTTGTACAATGGAGATAGTAAATTTGCGTGCGCAACGACACAGATTGTGTCTAGGCCTCCTATAATTTCTTGGATATCTTGTGAGTAAAACTCCAAGGCGTCACTGCAACAATGTATTTTTTACTAGATGTCGCCCGCGACACTGTCTGCGTGGAATTAAAAAATATCTTAATGAGTAGCCTATGTATTCTTCCAGGCTATATTTTAAAACTATTCCAAATTTCAGCGAGATACATGCAGCCAGAGTTCCAGAGATACCTTCTAACAATGATCCATCTATCCGTCTAACCATCCAAATATTCGCATTTATAATATTAGTATGAATCATCTTTCATCTTTTGGTTTCAGGTATCATAGCATCGTCTCATTTCTGGGGTTACCTAGCAGACACGCAGGGCAGGCGCAAGATACTCAGCGTGTCGCTGTTGACAGGGTTTGGTGCGGGTTTCCTCGCCACCTTTTCACCGAATTGGATTGTTTACATGCTCCTTAAGTTTGCCTCGTCATGTGGGTAAGTGAATAGTTGACATCAATTTTCATTACTTAAATTATTAAACAGTGGTTAGAAATAGAGATTCCCATTTTTTTGTCGTACGCCCCAATAACAATTTATTGGTATTGGAGAACTGCAATTTATCTTCTTTGAATTTTGAATCCTTAAGTTTATTACCCGCCATCCTACATCTCATCTGAACTTTCTGTAGACTACAAGGAGTCTCTCTGGATTTTGGTCATCACTAGTTAAGAAGTAGCTCTTTCTCTAGTGAACAATTTGTTGTCCCTTTCCGATAGCGTGGCCGGTACGTACGCGCTAGCGCTCACCCTGCTCGGTGAGTGCACGCCACACACGAAGAGGACCACTATGATCGCTTACACCACTAGCATCTTCCTCATCTGCACCGGCTCCATGGCAAGTAAGACTTTCGTCATCCTATGTTGTACCAATGATCAAGATTGAATATGTCGGACCCTTCTACTTTGGTTTTAATTGTAGTTAATTTCCTTCTGTTTTTCTTATTTTTTTACGTACAACCCCATTCTTGAACCCTTTAATTTAAATCCTTTTTTAATACCTAAGGCCAGTCATACAGAAATGTGGCATTTTCCTAATACTAAGTTGTTTTTTTTTGTTTTTTTTTTAGTTATAACAATACCAGTGCTGCCGCTTACGTTCTCATATTACATCCCGTACCTGAATATACACTTCAATTCCTGGCGACTGCTTAACATCATCTACTGCATCCCGTGTGCTCTAAGCGGGCTCGGTGTACTCAAGTCCTACGAAAGTCCCAAGTACTTGCTCAGTGTGGGAGAAGAAGATAAAGCTTTAGAAATACTGAGAGGAATAAATGCTATTAACAACGGGAAAGACGCCGAATTCAAGGTTAGTGGTATATCCAAACTTTATGGCGGCTTGCAATATCGCACGAGCTGTACAGAACACAATAGATATTGGCGGGACATGAAGGGATATAGAAGTGCGCAAATTCCTCCACTGGCAGTGGTCTCACCTGAAATCTACTATAAAGTTTGAATCTTGTAATACTCCATAAACATTGTATTTAAATTATCATAATCGTACATCACATCACATCTTTCGTCACTGCACAATTGTGATGACCGATTGACGATCATTTATTTTATATGTTAAAGTACTCGTAGTATTAGAATTTAATCCTGACCTACATTAAAACATTGTAATCCTTTACGTACCTATCTTAAGTGGTTTATTATCTACAATGTTAAACGATTTAATTCACTTTTATACACATATATTAGTAAAACATAAGTCTTTTTCAATAGCTTGGCGACCCAAGGTCATCGGCGCACTGCGCACTGCCCACCCCCTCATCCCGCTGCGCCCACTACACTAAAACTTGAGTTCTGCGCCGCTACACCCGCGAAATTAAGAGCCGCGAAATTAGCCTAGAAGTTATACGAATTATAATCTATAGGGCGTTAGTAATAAAAGTTGAGTAGTAAAAAATCTTTCCAGGTGATGTCAGTGACCTTAGACGAAGACAGAAAAGCAACTGACGTGGTAGGCCTGTGGGCGTCACTTAAATCGCAAACGACGCCGCTACTCAAACCTCCGCTTTTGAAGAAAACTTTGCTACTGTCTTTGTTGTTTATCATTGTTTATTTTTGGTAAGATTACTAATTAATGTATGTATCGTGTCTCGCATTCGGTCTCGTACCCTTGGCGGGATTATAAATTGCCTATTTTCTATTATCTATTTTATAAAAAATTCTAGTTCAACAAGCTGTTTACAAAGTTGCAAAAAAGTAATGAGATTGAATGTGAATGGCTACAGAGGTAGAAGACCAAAGAAAGTCTGGATGAATTGTGTGAAAGAGGATATGCATAAGAAGGATATGAATTCAGATATGATGACTGATAGAGAGGTATGGAGGAGTAGTACATACCGTGCCGACCCTCCGTAGGGATAAGAGCAGGATGATGCATCTGTTTAAAATTGTTAATTGTTTTAGTTTGAACCCGTACATGGTATGGCTGCCGTACATAGCGGACGGTATGATGCGCGCCATAGAACGAGACGACAGTAACATCACATTCTGTCAAATGCTGCAGACTTCACTTGACGTCACTAAGACACAGGTAAGGATATAAATATCTATCGACGAGGCTAACTCGTCAAGCAAGAATATTTGTAACAAGCGCCATCGTATCAACATTGAGAAAAGTGTTTACGTTTGTGCAGGCGTAAAGTAAATACAATAAATATCTCATACTAATTTTGATATAATTGTGGATGTCGATACGAAGGCGATGGCGATTCAATAAACAGGTATCGCCTTTCTGAGGCCGAGACGTTCATAATTTAGTTCATAGTTACAATTAGTGATAACGCCATCTAGTGTTGAATAGATTGCAATTAATTAGTTCATAATTTCAGACCTTTGACAAGCTATCTTCATCGGTTGTCACTTCTAGTTATTGCACTTTACAAATTTAAGAACAGATTTTAATTTTTTTTTAATATTGAACAATTGAATAGATATTTTCGTTGGTTTATTTTATATTTTACTCATTTCAGACAGCGAATTGCGGCTTGGATCAAACCGCCATGATAATGGTGTTCTGTATTGATGTTTTCATGGCTATACTGAACTTAATCCTGACCACAATTATGACTTGTACTGGAAGGAAAACACTTCTTATTTCACTGCAGGTAAAGTTCAAGATACATTGCTAGAAGTTTATTCTGAACGCTTAAAAATGTTATGAGCTATTCCACATTCATCGACAACAAAGTTTTGATAGTTTTCGATAGATGGCGGTTTTGTTAACAAAATTTGAATCCAAAGCTCCTTTGGCTTAATTATATTTAATTTTCATTTTACCAGCTATTGTCTGGGGTAGCGGGTCTGCTGGTGAACTTAAGTAGCAGTTGGATTGTTAGCAACATCCTCTTTATCATCTACGTGTCAGGGGTTCTCAACTTTGGTTTCCTGGCTACATTCGTCGTCGATGTTTTCCCTACATATGTCAAGTAAGTAATTTTTTTTAAGTAATGGTATAATTGAAGCTTAACTAACGACTGAAAAAGTTTCCTAGACACGGAAAACGAGTTTATTCGGAAATTAAATCGGTCGACCCGATTCGAAGTGGTGCGACTAACAATCACGTCTTATCACAAGATCTATATATGGGTAGACATATTATGTGGTGATGTTGTTCAGGGCGATGGCGGTGTGCCTGTGCTTAATGGTGGGACGTGGCAGCTCGGTTCTAGGCATCAACATCCTTAAGGCGCTGCTGACCGACCACTGCCAGCTCTCTTTCTACGGCTTCGCTGGACTTGCTATAGGTTTGTGCATTTCTAGTGGATTTCTTCTTATTATTATTATTTATTTCTATATTTTTATTTATTTATCGTATTCTTAATATAGAACATTTTATATATAAAATAGAAAATTATATAATACCAAATATATTATATTAAAAATAGAGCACCACCGGCTGCGGAATCCCATAACTCAAGCAATCAATGGTCAGGGCTGCAGAGATAGGAACCTTTTCATTATTATTACTATTATACTTCCTATCTTATTATTATTATTTGTATTTAGAATACAAGTGAAGTAATAATCCAACTTTCTCAGGATGTTGTAATAGTATAAAAGCACTTTGAATGCTAAGAAAAATTTTCTTTTTGATTCGTGATGTACTAGAAAAGGTGTAAACCTAAGTGATAAGCTTTATTATTAATATACTTTCCCAATCTTTTATTTTTCAATCTATTACGAACAAGTCTTCATGCAATGGAGTAGTTATATCTGATATAACTATATTCTTTTCTAGTTGGAGGGCTGATAAGTTTTCTTCTGCCATCGGACTTAAAGAAAAAGAAGAATGTCGAACCTTAATCTGTTATTTATAAGTATTTTATGTAAATGATATACGCTGGCTGTGATAATGACATTTAATGAATACGGGGCGAGAGAGAAGTAAAATCAATTTAAAAATTGAAAGCGCAATAATATAATAACAATACGTTAAAGTTTGTATTTAAGAAATAAAAATGCTGTAAAACGCTAATCTTTTAAAATTAAATTCTTCTAAGACTTGTTTTATACGTATTGTTGTCTCAATTTTGTTAAAGAGTGTGAAAGAGATGGCAACATGTTTGTACACAAGTGAAATGTAAAGCTGGTACGCGGTTTGTGTGCCCTGAACTATTTGGTGAATAATTTTTAAATATTATTTTAATAGAAATGCGAATTACTTTACTCAAGTAACTAAAATTATTTAAATTGAATAGAGGCTATTAAAAATGAAATATATCGTACATCTTTTGATATATTTATGTGATATATTGAGGTTGTCATGATAAATATATATTTTTCAAAAACATTAATTCTAAGTCTTATTTTAAACCTTCTATATCACTAGTTGTCAGCCGCGACTCTGTCCGCGCAGAATTAAAAATAAACACATAGCCCATGTTTTCATCCAGAATATGTTCTGTATGTATGCCAAATTTCATGAATATCCGTTTAGGCGTTCTGGAGATATCTTCAAACATACATCCATCCATCCATCCGTCCATCTAAACATTCGTATTTATAATAATAGTAAGATTGGCACTATAAAAATATAATGACAGTATCAAAATGTGGATTAAAATTTAATCTACCTACTATTAATTTCTACGTTAGTAATTTTGGACCTTAACCCAATCAAAATACGTTCCAAATCACTATAAAATCTCTGACATTGACATTTCCATGTCCAATTTTTTTATCATTCTACCCGCTGAAATATTCTGTTTATTGAAAGTTTATAATATCTCGTTCATTTATATCGCCATAAGGCGACAGATTACACGTGTCCTTACTATGTGATCGTATCTAGGATTTATATACAATATGTTTACATTAAAATCAGTGATATATATATTTGTGTATATAACGGTTGTCTGTCCGTTGATAAAAGTCCAGTGTTACGAAAGAATAGATCTTAAAAGATATGATGAAAATGGTAAGTTTAGATGCTTAATTACTTAAGACTAACTTTATACAAAATATGTATGAATTGAAAAACGAAAATGTATTTGTTGGTTTCTAGTAAATTATATATTTTTTTTCAAATTATGAAATGATTTCTATTATTCTTCAACGAATAAAAATCATTTTAAGATTATACTTTTATTAAGTTCATATTCCATGAAAGTCTAAAAACCTATAGTAGTAGAATTGTTAGACATAAAATCTGTCTAAATGCTACACAGAGAGTTGTAAACCCTTAGTATAGGTTTAGATCTATACTAAGGAACTTGCTTAAGTGAAGCATGACCTATGTATAAGTATTAAACGATTACATTTTGGTTAATTATATTTTGATGCAAACTAAGGATAAACGTAATATTGTTAACACCTTCAGTCACTTGCATGGAGATTTCTTTTTAAGACGAAAATGTAGCATTCAACGTGTTAATTATGCGCTTTTTTAGAACACATACATAGTCCACCGCCGTGCGACGTGTGTCCGCGGAAAGGTATTTGTGTCCCCAAGGTGCAATGTCCTGCGCATGTTCGACCAAACTCTAACAACCTTCTGTGTCATCTAGAAGGTTCTGGAAGTATTGGTGTATGCTGTTTTACTGGTCATCATCATGCAGGTACAATTTTTTATTGACAGACTAACTCAAAAATATTTGAGACAGCGATTAATTACTTCGCAATTGGTATTTCAAACGGATTCTGTTTCCAGTGCCGCAAATTATAAAACATATTGTTATGAGAAGACAATATTAGAGTAATTATTACTTGTGATTTTTTTACAGCGGAATCTGATCGTAAAATGCGCACGTCCACAATGAGCATAGAAGATATGAAGTCTGCTCATAAACTGTCACATCAGAAGGTCGCAGATTGGCTCAGAACAGCAGAGAAATTGTTAAAAGATAACATCACTATTGTGGATAGTACTGCACCTAGTTATGGACATTATTTGGTAAATATTTTGCATGTGAAAATTGTGTAATACTTTTAAAATAGTCATATTTAAATTTTACAAATAATAAATGACCTTTAGCGCCTTTTAAAAAAATAATGCAAATTACATTTCAGTATAAAATTGCCATTTTTTTATACTAATGCTTTTTGATGAGCATGACAATTTTTTTTTTACACTTCTTTTGTTATCATCAATGATGCTTATTAAATAATAATTATAATTACAGTCAACGGTTACATATGACGAACGAGTAAAGGACTTGGCTCGTGGTGGTTTGCTGAACATGTTTGCTGCACAGGAATTGAAGTCTCGCCAGGCTATCTCTGAAGATGAACTGGCCTTGGGACTCACCGATTACACAGATGGTCCATATTTTTGTATCATTTTAAGTTATTTAATATTTACTGCTTTCACGCAAACTCTGTACAATCTCTGGCAACAAAGTGTTAAAAGTTAATTTAAGCTTTTTAACCTTTAAGAAAAAAAATTACTGTGTTCTGGTGCGAGTTTCAATAACTATAAATATTTTAACTTCGTATAAAAACAAAATATACATTAAAAATAATTTTTTTTTCAGGGCCATATTGCCCACCACAGCCTAATTGTCTACCTACAGACAACCGATACAGAACTTTAGGAGGGGAGTGTAACAATGTCAAAAACCCGAGCTGGGGCGCTGCTAACACAGCCTTTGAAAGATTACTGCCTCCAGACTATAGTGATGGTAAGATTAATCTTATTTAGATTCATTAAAAGGGAACAAAGATATTTGCAAGGTATCTTCTATTATAGTCGATGTTTAAAGAAGTTTCCGACCCAGAAAAATTCGAGTAAACAAAGGGACTGCCATCTAGAAAATAGAATGATATTTTACACGGACATTAAAAGTAGACTCTTCACCCCCAGGTATTTGGGCGATAAGAAAGTCATCCTCAGGTCTTCCACTGCCCAGTGCGAGGACAGTCAGTCGTCGCATTCTGTTGGACGCCAGCAGTCCCAGCCGTACACACAACCTCATGTTCATGCAGTTCGGACAGTTCATCGCACATGACATCAGCGCAGGAGTTGTTTATACGGCAGGTAAATTAGAAGACAAAAAATGGTATCACAAAGTACAGACATATTATATTAACCCAATAAAATGAATAATCATTCTTATAGCAGATCAATTGGTAATTTACAGAAGATAACAAGCCGATATCGTGTTGTGCGGGAGACGGCGAGGCGCCCCTTCCTCCACACCTCCAGCATTGGGCCTGCGCCCCCATTGAGGTTGAACCCAACGATCCCTTCTTCGATCACTTCCAACATCGCTGTATTAACTTTGTTAGGGCACAACTGTCGCCTGCTGGGGATTGTTCCCTTGGATATGCGAAGCAGGTGGGTATTGCACATATGTACGTAATTATCATCAAAATCTGAAAATTGGCACAAATATTGAATACAAGAAATGGAAGTTGCATATAAGAAATCAAGTATTTGTTACAATTCAAAACCGTGCTTTTACATGTCAAATCATTTTAGATATCTGTTATAATTTCAGATGAACGGCGCGACTCATTATCAGGACTTGTCGCATATTTACGGCAGTACTAAAGAGAAGACAGATTCTTTAAGAGCTCCGGGAGGTTTACTTAAAGTATTCAAAGATTACGGTAGAGATCTTCCACCTGTTACAGATAGGAAAGAATGCTTGTCAGATAAGGAAGGAGCTGTTTGCTTTGACTCAGGTATGTTAGAGTACTAATTCATAGTTATTTTAACACTCTACGAATATTATTAAGAGATCTGAGGATACAAGATTCCTTGAATTTAATCCTTTTAAATATTTCAGGCGATAATCACGCCAATCAAATTCTATCTCTAACTGTACTTCATACCATTTGGACGAGAGAGCACAATCGTGTAGCGAGAATTCTCGCCACAATCAATCCGAAATGGACAGAAGACACGGTCTTTATGGAGACCAGAAGGATACTTCAGGCAGAATTTCAACATATAATTTACAATGAATGGCTGCCGTTGCTACTTGGTGAGCATGTCAATGTACATATTTCATATATTTTGCTAATGCCAAATCGGTCGTCTTTCGCCATTTGTACACAAAGAGCGAAACTATTGATCCATATACAATTTCTTTGCAATCAAAGAAGTCATATCACAGATCTGTGAACAAACACCTTATACATGCTTTCATAACATCAACTTTTCATTTTTTCAATTCGATGGGATTTCATTCTGGCTTAAGAATAAGGCTTAATACAGTAAGTTGATAACTATTTCTTTCAGGTCCTCAAATCATGCTGGAATTTCAACTGCTCACTTTTCCCGGATACTCGCCAGGATACGACCCTCAAGTGAACCCGTCACTTACAGCTGAATTCTCTGCGGCTGCGATGCGATTTGGGCACTCTATTGTAGATGGGAAGATTATGTAAGATTCTCGTTTCGCTTTCTTTTTTTGTCTTTTGAATCCTGTCTCAAGAATGGTCGTTATGGCAAATATAATAGTTTGTTATTAAGATATTTCTATTACAGGGTACCTAATTCAAAAAGTGGCGAAATTTATGAAACTATATCTATACCAGAAATAATGCACCAGCCTTCACGATTGCGACTTTTGCCTTTTCTGGACAGAATTCTGATTGGACTTTCCATGCAGCCGATGCAGTCAGTTGATCCATTTGTTACGGAAGGGGTCAGTTAATTTATACATAACAAAAGACTAACTTTTTATATTTAAGTAGCCAACGAACTCTCAACTTCATACACATTATTACCTCCGGTCTTAAAATAGTCCATTCCTGTAAATCAGTTGTAGATCTCTTCTTTGTATCCACCAAAAATGTTCTCAAATAAATTGTCATTAGATTAAGTAATTTTTGTTTTTCAGTTGTCTCGTTACATGTTCCGTGGCGTAAAGCCTTATGGATTAGACCTTGCTGCTATCAACATCCAGCGAGGCAGAGACATCGGCCTGCGTCCTTACAACCACTACAGAAGACTTTGTGGCCTTAAGCCCTTCACCGACTTCAAGCAATTCAGTCCTATTGTATGTATCTTTGCTGTAGAGAGGAATCTTCTTTATCTGTAACTTTAACTTGACCTTGACATCTAGGCCAAACATTTTTAGTAGCCTTTTTTCAAAAGTTAGCAATATTCTTTTAGGTTCTGCTTAGTTGAATGATCCTT